ATTCTGAAGACATGACCTTTCATTCAATACCAATTACCTTGACATTCTGACCTTGATCTTTGAATTTAACGTACTGTTAAAATCTTTTTATCTTGGTTATAACTTTTGAATGGTAAGGGCTAGGGCTGCCATAATTTAATCATGTGATCTTTGTTGAAAGACCTTTCATTCAATACCAATAACCTTGACCTTCTGACCTTGATCTTGAAGATTTCTGCACTTATGAAAAAACTTTAGCCTGGCCATAACTTTGGAACAGATGGTGATAGGGCTTTCATGTTTTACAATTGTATTTCCAGTTAGGAGACCCTACTTTGGGTACCAATGTATTGAATTTGCATCTAAGAAAAATTAATCTTCACTATGTTGCCATAGTTGGGCATCAGTGTTTCACAAACACATCTTTTTTTTTTTGACGATAAAAACTTCAGACTCCTGTATTCATATCTAAAAAATTAAGTCATATCTGATGGTTTATTTTTATTGCCCCCCCCCCCGGTTCCTTAAGCCCAACCTCTGGAAAATATGAAATGCAAAATAAAGATTATACAATTCAAGTTATTTTTTTCTACAATACAAATGGAAAATTGTAGAACACAAATAAAAATTATACAATACAATGAAAAGTGTTACAATGCAGATGGAAAAGTATATAATACAAATAAAAATTACACAATACAAATGGAAAAGATTGAATATTGCAAGTTTGACATGCCATAGATTTAAGAAATTAATGTAAAAAAAATTCTTTGACCGGTGTATCAAAGAAAAATTTGGACAGAAAACGTCAACAGTGCGCGTAGCAACAATCAAATGTTCAAATCATAAGATCTTTTCTTAGGTACACATTTTATGACCCTTTGATCATAACCTTTGGAATTTCACTTACTTTTCATTAGCTAATCTTGGTTATACGGTTTGAATGATTGGAGCTAGGACTTTCAATTTATGCTGCTTGTTTATTTCTTTTAATATTTCAAGGAAATAATCAAATTTTGAGTGACATGCATATGTTTATTTAACTAGTAAATAAGTTTATATATATGCTATTAGGCTGTAAATAATGAAATATTTTTTTTATTTTTCAGAAACAATGATAAAAACTATGGACAGCAGTAGTTCCGTCATTATTTTGTCTGTCGTGGTGCCAATAATTTTTTTTATACTTTGTATTATTCTCTTTGCCTTCTGTTTTATTTTTTGCAAGTGGCACCTTTTATACCATTTCTGTCAGGGCAAGAAAACAGATAGAGGTGAGTTTTAATGCTTATACCCCCTTTCGTATAAAATTTCTTTCATTTTCAATTTTTCAAGAAAATTAATATGATCAACAGTTAAATTCTACTTTTACACGGAATATACTATGTACATTTAATATGGTAATTATCAGGATACATTTACTCTGCTTATAGTTTAAAAAGCTAGTGAATGATTGTCTGCTTGTACTTGAGACAAAGTCAAGAAAAACCTATCATATAAATCTTAATAATAATTAAGTATTATGTATTTAATCTATTTCAGGTACAAATGATTATGACGTTTTGCTGTACAAGGACGACGATCACGCGGGGGAGGCGAGCAGATTGAGAGAGGAGTTGGAGTGTTTGATGTACAACGTGTGTACACAAGAGGACAGTCACGGGGGTAAGTGTCATCCGGAACAGCTGACGTTTTCCCGGAATCTTCCACGATTTTGATTTTTGACTGCTAGATAAACGTCAGAACTGACGCCAAATTATTAAAACTATGTACAAGTCAACCCCATGGGAATGCTGTCTCAACAGTTGGTTTTTATGTTGTTTCCTGGCACGTCACATTTTTAATATTGTATTAAAAGAAAACCTTTAAAAAAACAAATTATTCATCATAAAGCAGGTCTGATATTATTTTATTAATATAGCCTTTTGATGAGGTTGATCCATAGATATTCATGAAGTCGATATATCTATGGATTGACCGAATTAAAGGGCTACATTTGTTATATTATTGTTTACGGAGATTGACAAAACAAAATTTGAAGATAATGGGAACAAGGCATAAGTTTTTCTCTTGTCTTTTTAACACTAAGGGACTATAGATCAAAATTAATCTGGGCTGTTTATTGTTTTTGTTTTTCCTATATAATGATAGATTAATTCAGGGAATTTAATACTAGTAATTCAAAAAGCTTAATATGTTTTATTATGTTTTGTATTAATTTAAAAAAAACATCTCTAATATTATGAGTATGTTTTAATATAAAGTAGATCCTTATTCAAGGCACTGTTACCAATTACTATATCCCATAACATTAGAATTATAAACAGGAGTTTAAGTTTATTTTTCTCTTTCAGAAACGCCAAGTCATACACTGCATTAGCAAGCACAATATTATTTACATGGTTAGAAACATTAAGTCCATATGCATTTCAGAATCTATAAATAGTAACACAAGTCTTTACGATGTTATATACTTGATCATGTGATCAAGTTTGAGCTAATGAGAGAGCTTGGATTAAATGAGAAAAATAATATTAGAAATTAAACTTTTCTCCACCTTTATTTTGGGGTGGGTTGGCTTCCATATAGAGTACATTGTAATCCTGTGTTTGAAAAAAAATTATGAAAGAAGACAAAAAAGAAAAAAAAAAACCTTGACCCGTGCTGTATATTATAATAATAAGTGGGGGGGTGGGGGGGTCTGACTATTAGAACCTGTAACTTTATCGCTTAATTGTGTTCTAAATTCAAGTTGCTTCTTTCCCTTTAAACTGACAAGTTATGTCCTATTATTTAAAAGCAAAAATAAACATTTGGAACTTAACAACGAAAATTCATTTTGATATGATGTGGAAGAACATTTCCTAAAATGTTTCAGTTTTAAGTAGAGACTTATTTAAAAATTTACTCCCCCCCCCCCCTTTTACAAAAAAAGAAACATTTTTTTTAGCTCGGTCATCCAAGACATTCGCATGGCTATGTACTATAGCCATGCAAACAAATTATGACTAATGTTCACGTGGTTAAGAGAAATCTCCGATTGCAGCCAAAAACGTTGTTTTTAAATTGTAGCTCATCCATCCCTACTTGGTAAGAAAAGGAAAAAGTGATCGACCCAATACTCGTATTAAACAAGTGTCGTTGAGGTTGAGATGCATGCTGAATCCGGCATGGTAACAAAAATCAATTACAAGACTTTTTTCATTTCAAATTTTATTTATATATAGGTGGGGTGATGCAGAGCTTACAGAATTTAATAGATTCTAGTTCCTGTGTGATCTTCTTCTGCAATGAAAACGACAAACATATGGATACAATCCTTAGCAAAGCTCAAGAAAACATCTCCGTGTTTGTGATTCGGAAGAAGAGCGAGTCCAGAAAAACCAGTGAGCTACGCAACAAATCAATGGCTGCTTTTGAAGAACTTCAGTGGCCGTCACACCGAGAGAGTAAATTTTTTTGTGTAACATGGCGTAAAGACGAGTTCTATTACAGACTAAGATGTGGACTTCCCAGACCTAGACCAGACCAAAATGAAGAATATGTACAAAACAAAAGTAAAATGCGTGCTGACATTCAATGCTGGGAAAACGAAATGAACAAATTATAGACTTTATAAACTTAATATGCAAATAAAGAACTATATATTGCTTTTGAATTTTCATCTTTACGTATAATTATACTAGAATACACCGTGCTCAGCTAAGTCTCAAATATATTCATTCCAAGGTTGATTTGTAAACCACTCAAAAGTAAGACATCTTATAAGATACATTTCCTTCCGGTTGGGGTTATATATGTAGGATAAAACCAGGGACCTCGGAATGGATACTTGGAAGTCTCTGGTTTTAGCCTACATCTATGACCCCAACCGGAAGTAAATGTATCTTATAATTTAAAGATATCTTATTTTGTATCGAGGTAATTTTGAGGAATAAATGAGTGGTTTACAATAAAGAGAATAGACCAGAGACCTCTGGAACGATTTAATTGACAAGAAAAAGCTTTTCGAAGGGAACGATGTCATTTTAAAGTACATGTAGGTAATGACTGATATATTAACAAAATACGAACTTGAAGCGGGGGTGCATAAAATTGAGTTAGATACCTTGTGGTAAAAATAAGTAGGGGTGTCCCGTATTATAACAAGTGCCTGTGTAAGGAAACCTGTATCAAAAATACCGGTTTAATTCTGAAATTATTATACCCCGAAATCAGGATCCAGTTCAGGGCTAAGGTGATCTTTTAGGCTGAAAATAAAATATTGTTTGTTTGCTTTGTTTGTAGTTCCTTATCGACCCGCTTAAAAAGCACTTGACCCCAAAAAAATTATTTTATTTATTTATTTATTTTTTTTGTAAGTTTCAAGTTTTCCGAATATTAAAATTATAATTTCCGACATTTGAATTTTGTTTTCATCAATCCATGACATATTAAAGATCTAAGTGGAGCTTATTTATATATAGTTTACCCTTTAAAATCTTATTTGTTCTCCGACAAAACCAAAAAAACTAAAAAAATAAGATATCTACATCCTACCCTCTCTTTAAATTTTACGTCGGCAACTACTAAACAAAGGATTTTTTAAAGTTTGGCTTTATATTTGTAAAAGATAAAATACATGTAGCAGGTAAACAGAAATTCAAAATAATAGTGAATTTTCCGTTATAATAAAAATTGCAAAAACCCATTTTCCTCACGTCCACAGCTAAGGCTATAGGGATTGGCATAGTTTACAAGTTCATATACCAAACATACAAAGTATATGTTTAAAATCTCGACTTATTTCAGGTAAACTGTTTATATTAACACTTAGTACTTAGTCTAACTGTTGAATGCATGACCCCCCTGTTTGAGGCCCCAGGGAGGGGCTAAGTTAGTCAAATATTTAAAACATAGAAAATCATTGCACTATATCAAGCATGTCGGAAACTGTATGTGATTTAACTAAACCCTTGTTCAATAATCGTGCATTCAACGTGCCCTGGGTACATGTATATACATGTATATTTATGTTACTCATACAAATATATATACATGTATTAACTGAAAATACAACTCTTTTTAAATTTATGGAGAAACAAATTTTCTTATCTCCTACACAGAAGAGTTACACTGGTATTTTTTTTAAAGGAGTATATATGATAAGAGCCAATTTTGGCCCCCCAAAAATCAGCATTTTAGAATGACATTCAAATATGTATAATTGATATTTATTTTGTAGAGGAGATTATATTAGAAATATTTACCATACATTCTTCACATTAATATGCACTCACTAGCTGTAAATGACAGGAGAAATAATGCTTTTTTTGCTATCTAGCAAAAAAGCCAAAAATATGCCTTTTTTCTCATGGGAAACATAGAGCGCAATGTAGAACATACATAATTTTTCTGTCACTAATTAGTATCGGATAGATACATCTTTGGTAAAAATATATATCTTGTTCTAGGCTGCGCTCTATATTTTCTGGAAGAAAAACTGCTTGAAAATAAGCAGGTTTATACAAAATATGCTAAAATGGCGGGAAAACGTTATTTTTATGATGTCATATTTCTAGAATAACGACACTTTTATCAAAATGAAAATAACCAAGAAAAGTCGCATACATAGCTGTACAAATTAAAGCTATATACAAAGTACAATTAAGATATTCATTTTAAGGGGCGAATTGAGACACTTACCATATATCGCTCTTTCTTTCAATAGAAGCGTGATATAGAAATCTTAATAGTGTAAAATGTCCCCATAGAATTTGCAGTAAAATGCTTCACAAATTTCTAAAAAAAAATTCTTAAAATATGTATTGAGCTGTAAGATTGCACTTTGAGTTAAAGTGTTTGGACACAGATTCATCCTTGCACTTTCACAGAAGTATGGGAAACGTAAACTGTTTTTGTAAACAGGGCACGAGCTCTGTAAGTTTTAATGTTAAACTCTGCACACATCACTGAGCACGAACTAGCATTACTGGTGAGTTGGTTTAGCTTTCTCACATCTCTACTCTGAATTTCCTGTATTATTTTTTTTTCAATAATATTTACACACAACAAAATTGCTCTTTTTCTAATGTTAAAGAAACGGAAAAATATTGCAGAGGATATAAATCCAACTCAAAGAGCCCCCCCCCTCTTTCGAAAACATAGATCTATGTTCAGTTGGTATAAAAAGTCATATAATATAGATATGAAGCTTTACGATCAACAAACTAAAATTCAATAACCTTTTTCGGCTTTCAAACGTTTTAGATTTTTAGAAAATTAGAATTTTGATTCAAACACTCAACTTTTAAATAACCAAAACACTTCTTACATTGTGAGTTTTTAGAAGTTTACTTCAAATATCCAAAATATCAAATCCCAAATCCGGTTTAAATTGTGAAACTATGCCAAAAACGCTTTGGTCAAGCAAAAGAGCTTTTAGATATTCAGATACAGACTTAGTATCAAATTCAGATCGGGATTGGAAATTTGATATTTTGGATATTTAAAGTGAAAATCTAAAACTCAAAGTGTTTTGGATATTTGAAATTTGAATGCTTGAATCAAAATACCAAATTTTTTTGGAAATTTTAATTTTGAATTTTTAAGGTAAAAATCTAAAAACTTAAATTCTAAAACCTGTTTGGAAATTTGAAAATTTAGATTTTTGAACAAAATTTTAAATTCAAATATGCCAAATCAGTTTGAGTTTTTGAAAGTTAGAAATTTAAACTTATATATTAACATTCTAAAACTCAAAATCGTTTTAGAAATATGAATTGTTAAGTGTTACACGGACCTAAAAATTCTAAATGTTTTGGTTATTTGAAGTTTGAATGTTTGAATCAAAATTCTTAATTTCAATAAAAATCTAAAATAAAAGAAAAAATGAAAGTTGAAATTTAGATGTTTGAAGTAAATTTTGAAATATCAAACGTCGTAAAACTGTACTGAACTTAAGACTGTTAAAACGTAAACATTCTAAAAAAAACGGTAGATTAAAAACTCAAAAGTTTGAAATACAAAACTTGTTCTTGAAAGTTTGAATTTTGAATATTAATGGTTAAAAAATCTAAAAACTTAAAGTCTAAAACCTGTTTGAAAATTTGAAAATTTAGATTTTTGAACTTAATGTTAAATTTCAATTTACCAAATCAGTTGAAGTTAGTTTTTGAGATTTAGATATTTGCACTAATATATTAACATTCTAAATCTCAGAATAATCTTAGAAATTTGAATCGTCAAGTGTTACATGGACCTTGTATAGTTTGATCGACCTTATACCTGTAATTCTATTGAAATCACAAACTTTCTCTCTCTTCCTCTTTCTCTCTCTCCATGGCACTCCACCATCCCGAGATATATAAATCGACTTGTATATTGTTTTAAATTGCAGTGATGAGTTGAAGGATAATTCGTATACACAAACATATATGTCAGACAATTTTGTAAACAATTTATGTAGACTTTATCATAGCTAACACATTTCCTTATCGACTCAGCTTTAATTTTCATTTGAAATCCCAGAATCTGCATTGAAATTTAATGCTAAGTAAAGCATTCTTAAACAAATGTAAACCAATTTAAAAAATCTATATGGGTTTTACAATGTACACTGTAACAAAATGTTTACATATGTCTAAAAAGAAAAGAAAAAGGATGTGATGAAATATCAACTTCTTCGGATTTTTGCTGCCCCAATAACTTTCATTGTCTGGTTCCATAAAACGGTTTTATTTTCTCATGTATCCGCCTATGACAGGTCCATTTTAAAGTCATCTAAAAGTTAGAGCAGCTCTGTCGAGGCCTTTTTGTGTAGAACAAAGCCGAGTCTTCACACGAGGTTGTCACCCCTGTAAACATTTGGACTCGTCCAATACCCGACTTTCTTTTACGTTGCGTCAAATGAAAACAAGAGCACGTTAATGATAATGCTAGGAGATTGAGGGGATGAGCCAACCACGTTCCCCCGATATCGGGAGGGACACGGAAGGGGTGCCATGTTCCTACAGCCCCCCTTTACCCTTGGACTGGCTGGACATCAAACAGGAAGAAGATGAACCCAAGATGTGCGGGAGGGAGGTGGTAAGTCTGTAACAGCGATCAGCTGATCAAGATGGTATATAATTAATGTAGCATTATACAGTATATTGTTGAATGAGCCAACTTCTCACAAATGTTGTCAGTACAGAGCTGCGTTCAAAGTTTGTTGTATTTATTATTTCATGCAATTGCTGCAGGTGCTTGACTTTTTTTGATTTTGCGCAGCGGAGTTTGTCAAGTATACTTTCAGAAATTACAAATGAGCATACAGTGGTAAAACATAGTAAAACAGTTTTGGTTTACAAAAAAGCATTTGATGACAGGATTAAGCAGTTTTGAAATGTAATCAGGAGCTTCACTTCACTTAGTTTTGACCAAGAGCGGCCTTGATATTTTTTTTCAAACTGTGTTCATCAGTGAATCCTTTGAGACAAAAATAGACTACACGTCGCATTGCTGACAAAAGCCCTGTGTAAAGACTGGAACACGCTGGTCTCAATGTTTTTACAAAAAGCCAGTAGTCACTGAATGAAATACCGGACGCAAACCTTGCAGTCTTTATATAAATCATGATAGTGCGTATACAGGAAAGAGTGGTTTCCTCTCCTATCTTTTCAGTTCTAATTTACCTTT